CAAACTATCAGTAATCTGTATAAATAAACACATGGCAAACTACCAGTAATCTGTATAAACACATGGCAAACTACCAGTAATCTGTATAAACACATGGCAAACTATTAGTAATCTGTATAAATAAACACATGGCAAACTACCAGTAATCTGTACAAATAAACACATGGCAAACGATCAGTAATCTGTATAAATAAACACATGGAAAACTATAAGTAATCTGTATAAATAAACACATGGCAAACTACCAGTAATCTGTACAAATAAACACATGGAAAACTACCAGTAATCTGTATAAATAAACACATGGAAAACTACCAGTAATCTGTATAAATAAACACATGGAAAACTATCAGTAATGTGAAGGAAACATTCCCCAAATTTAAAGCAGTTCTATGCATAGGCGTGCGCAGCCTATTGCATTAGGGTGTGCACTCTAAAGCACAAACACACGCCGCGTGTGTGTTTGTGTGTGTGTATGTATCTATATATATATATAGAGAGAGAGAGAGAGAGAGAGATACACACACACACACACACACTGCTGTGTGTGCTGTTAGTGTGCTGTGTGCTGTTAGTGTGATGTGTGTGTGTGAGGGTGCTGTTAGTGTGATGTGAGGGTGTTTGTGTGTGTGTGTGTTTGTGACTGTGCTGTTTGTGTGTGAGGGTGTTTGTGTGTGTATGTTTGTCCTGTGAGGGTGCTGTTTGTGTGAGTGTTGTGTATTTGTGAGGGTGCTGCTTGTGTGTGTGTGTGAGGGTGTTGTGTTTTTTTTAAAGGTGCTGTGTGTGTTTGTGAGGGTGCGGTTAGTGTACTGTGTGTGTGTGAGCTGTATGTGTGTAGGTGCTGTATGTGTGTGTGCTGTATGTTTGGAGGGATTTGGCAGATTAGTAAATCCTTGCTGCCATGTGCCATCCCTGGTGGTCCAGTGGAGAGTGAACTCTAGCCTGCGGGGCTAGAGTAAACTCTCGCGAGATCTGAGCGTTGCCGCAGCAACACTCAGATATTGCGAGAGGAACCTGGCGGAGCTTCTGTCTAGAGCTCCCTGGGTCCTCTCCTGCCTCCCTCCATGCTGCTGTGGGCCGGTGAGGTAGATCTTTGGTCTCCCCGCCGGCCCATAGAGGCTTAGAGCAGAGCCGGCACTCAGATAGCGCCGGCTCTGTGTGTGTGTGTGTGTGTGTGTGTGTATATGTATATATATATATATATATATATATATATATATGCGTACACACACACACACACACTCACAGACACATTCAGACACACACACATACACTCACAGACACACACACACTCACACAGACATACACATTCACAGACACACTCACACACACACACACTCACAGACACACACACACACACTCACACAGACACACACACACACAGACACACTCACACACATACATACACTCACAGACACACACACACATTCACAGACACACTCACACAGATACACACATACACTCACACACACAGACACACACACACTCACAGACACACACTCACTCAAAGACACACACTCACTCACAGACACACACTCACTCACAGACACACACACACATACATACATACACTCACAGACACACACACATTCACAGACACACACACACACATTCACAGACACACACACTCACACATTCACAGACACACACACTCACACAGACACACACATACACTCACAGACACTCAGACACACACACACTCACAGACACACACACTCACAGACACACACAGACACACACACACACACAGACACACACACACTCACACATAAGAACAAATTTTTACATTTTAATTTTAAAAAAATGTCCACCCATCCTCCTACCTGGAGTGCTGGCGTGGACTTTTCCCTGGGGTCCAGTGGGGCGGGCGCCTCTCTGCAGCTCAGCCGCGGTGAGGGAGCTGTGTGCTGTCTGCTCTTTGCTTCCTCTCGCCGCACGGGCTGTCTGCTGTAGCTGGGAGCAGGAATATGACGTCATATTCCGGCTCCCGGCATCAGCGCGCGGCGAGAGGGAGCAGAGAGCAGACAGCACACAGCTCCCTCGCCGCGGCTGAGCTGCAGAGAGGGGGGATCCATCACCTCTTGCCCTCCCCATGACAGGGGCATGTGAGAGTGAGGGGGGGTAACATGAGAAAGAGGAGGGGGTAATGTGAGAAGGAGGAGGGGAGGTGTTACAAACTGACATTTGTAACTGTTATTTTATTTGACAAATTGCCCTGCTTCCCTGTGTTATGGAGAAGCCTAATTGCCAGCCTTCTCTGCCCCATGACTATGGACCTAGTGTGTATGGCGTATTTGACTGTATTTGTGGGATCTGAGCGCTGTTTGGATATATTGAGCGCTCAGATCCAAGCCATCTGGGGATAGGTTGAATGTGGGGGTTCTGTTCAGTTCAATAGGAGTTATGTATTTTTGTGTCTTTTTGTGTCTTTTTGTGTCTTTTGCTAACATGTGGTTAATGGAGTCTGCCTCTATCCCTGGATAATTGGATTACTTTCCCCATTGTCCAGGATAGAGGCCTCTGTAAAACCGGTTTGGGCCAGAAAACCATGCTGCCAGCCAGGCCCCAAAAGACACTTTTGCTAACTTTTGAACCCCTTGTCTGATTTGTGCCATTTTTTAATGGATGTGTAGTTTGGAAGTTATAGTACATGTATAAAAACTGTATTTTTACTGTTCTGTTTTAATTATGTTATGTGATTATCTGAGGGATGGGAATTTCCCTGAATGTATATTGTTCCGATTGGTTATACTGCTAATTATGTGGGTGTCTCCCTTGCATGGGCAGAATCTCATAAAAGCAGAGAGTGTGCCATTAAACATCAGATCTTCTTGACCCTCAATACGTAGCCTTGTCTCGTTATTGGAGGGAACTGCTATATCACACTGGGGATTGCTATGCTCTGCATACTCCCTTGAGCTTTTAATCACTTAGTTCTTTTAAGAGCTGTTCCTGTTACGCTCTCCTGGAGGAGAGGTCTTCCCCACACGGTCCTGGAGGACAGAAGCTGATCCAGGGTGGAAGGAAGATGGCGAGACTCCAGTTAAGCTACGGCGGTTGTGGAGTCTGCGGTGGTTATGGTGTCTGCTGCAGTGTTTGGAGTCCTCAGGAAGCGCTAGGAGCATCCATCAACGGAGGGTACTCGGTCGGAGTACAGGGAGCTCCGTTACAGGAGGTAATGTGAGAAAGAGGAGGGGGTAATGTGAGAAGGAGGAGGGG